ATGTGATCATGCAGAGCTGCGTGTCGACTCGTCAGCAGCAGCTGATCTCTCTCTCCCGTCACTCGCGTTTATGTCCATATCGATCAGATCCAGCTAGTTCTAGCGACTACCTGCTTATTAAAAGACACCTAAACAATAAGTGTCGCTATGCAACTGGGTGAGGCCACAAAGTATAGCGCAGCATTATGCATTTGTTTACATGCCCACCGGAACCCCGAGGCATTACCAACAGATCAACGCACAATCAACCCATACAGGACATCTCTTTCTCCACATTAAGTGTTAGACATCAGAATTGACTATTCTTGTCTGTCACATACTCTTCTTGTCTGTCACATAAGTGGCGCAACTGAAGCGGTATTGCGCTCAAGGGAAATTATTTTGACCGAAGAGATTTAGATTTGCCGGCTAACGGGAACTCTGACGTCGCCATTTTGTGTGCTTCGCGGATGCGCTCAGCTCCTCTCGACTGCTGCTCGGGTCTGCTCGGTCAGCTTCCGGATGAGGAGGCATTCGTTCGACCAACTTACAGTAGATAACATTACAAACATTTTTAACAGGGGGCATAATAGTGTAAATAATGTTTGTTTTGGCAGTTATAACTGAATGTAATGTTTTCTACTTTTTTACATCTGGGAAGGCATTTGCCTTCATCAGATGGAAAGTGTCTTGACCAACAACTTAAGTATTTCTTATAGCTATGCAGGGCATGCAAGTGAGCACATACAAACAAGAACAAACAAACAAGTGAAATGAAGAATAAAATTGAAACATATAATATTGTGGTGGTTCATCTTATAATTCAGTCTAGAGAATGCACCAGACAGCATCTAAGACCTGCAAACATCTACATGTTCTAGGGGAGGCCCCCCAAACCCTTCATGCGTCATGTCGTCCGTGCGCATTTTTCAGGGCAATCTCAGGGCCATCTGTAAATTAGCTTAGATGGCCCACAGTTTGTCGTAAAACTGTTGAAATATAAGACTATGAAAAATACGCAACTAGAAAGACTACAAATCCCAGTCCCGACTAACTCCCCTTTTGTGTATGTACAGCTCTCAACATGCCCAGACTTGTAGTGATTGTAACCTCTTTTAATACTTTTCGCCTCATTCTGAAAGAAAGAAGTGAAATGTGCCAACATGACGGCCATCTTGGTGTGTGGTGCGGGACGGGAGATGTAGGTCATTGAGCGGTTCACACAAAAAATGTGTACTTCACAGTTTTAAGACACTTTTTTTTTTTTTTACTTGCAAAATTATCTTTTAAATTGACAAACATCATATGTGTAATTTGTGGCACAATTCAAACGGGATCGAAAGATAATCTTTCTCTCTCCATTGACTTCAATGACTTTTCCGAAATAAGGTCCCATGGAGCTCCCCCGGAAGGGGAGGGACTTCGCCTCTCTATAGGAATGTGTCTGTTTGTCCCCACACACATTATTTCCTATTTAACTTGTGTTGTGGTTTTCATAATGATGTAGCTACTCTAGAAATCGCCCCAAAACTCAGAAATGTTGCTGAGAATTTGAATTATTATAGAAAACAATCTGTATTTTGGATCGGTATGATCATTTTCAGCAGCATTACAGCAGTTTTTCTGTAATCCTGCCAAAAACAGACAAGCCAAGTTGAAAACGAAGGACCCTCTTTTTTATTCTGTGTATTTTGTATTACTTTCAATGTTTGAATAAATATTTCTAAAAGAGCGGTCAGCACGTGTTCCACTTCCTGTCCTCGGGGTGTAACACCAAAGGGTTGTATTGAGTGTCCCAGGAACATTTATGAGTCCGCTCTGTGTGTTGGACAGGAACTTAAATGCGGTCTTTGACTGAGGAGGCTGTGCAGATGTGCAGGTCAACACGGTCAAATTTAGTTTAGCAAATGATTCTCGAACTGATAACTACAAGAGGGCTGCCAGTATCGAGAAAGATTTACGATATGGGCTTAGGCCTGGGGCGATGTGAGGTAGAGAAGGACCAGAGGCCTACATCCAGCTCTCTAACCTCACAGCCAATGACCAGACATCATTGGCTCAGAAGATGAGCTCACTGTGATTGTCTTTTCATCAGTTTCTCCCACTGACAAATTGATGAGCTGACATGCACTTGCAATCCGAGCACAAGAGCCAGAAACAGTTTTTTCTCACCATCTGTGAAAACCAAAGAAAGAAACTCAAATCACTCTTTGTTTGGAAAAAGCTTAGCTCATTGACCCCTGGAAGATCATTTCATTAAAGCAATAAACACCCGGCTTTTGCTAAATTCATGTAAACAAACCATTCTTTCCACCAGATGTCCTAAACTATTGGAATAGAAGAAAAAATACAGAAACAAATTAGATTAAGCTCCATCTGCTGCAGAGCAAATGACAGGAGTTTGTTGATTTTATATCAAATAAAAAGTATGGCTGTATTTTAAATATTTGTGTGGCTTGACAGTCATTGCAGCAACATTTGTCGCAAAGGCACTTTTCCTTCAAATGTTTTCAACACTGCAGCTGATTATAGGCCACGTTTTAGACGTACTGTAGGAGATACTTTCTCATTTGTAGAGGTCAAGATGGTCTTTTATCTTTCACTTTGATCTGCCTTGACTTACACTAGTCTTGACAATGGTGACTGAGTCGAATAAAAGAAGGTGCCACTGCCAACAGTGGATATTGATCTTGCTAGCATCACTCGGACTAGAGGTGGCAGCTTTTTCTTCTTCTCCCCTGAGCCCATGCTTTTAGTCTAGCTAACACGCCCTGCTTATTACGAATCTCTCCCCACACCCTCTTACTGCATACGGTTGGAATCACAGACCTTGCACGGTTTGGTTTTTCATAATAAAATTGAAATCTGCTTGCAATTAAACGACTGTCCAAGTGAAACATTATCACTGATTGTGTCACCAACTTGGTTTTTAAAAAAAAACTAATTTGCCATCTGTGCAAAATTCTGTTTAACATAAAAACTGTTTATGGTCAAAGCGTCCAGTTTCCTACATCCTTCTGCGTTATTTGCTGTGCAGGTTTGCTGGTTTGTCATGAACCCGATGTGATCTTGTGTTTTTGCAGGAGAATAGTGAGAGTGCTGGCGGGGCTGAAGTTTCATTTAACATATAGAGACACACTCCTGTCCCGAAGGCTTCAGTGTCAAGAGGTTTAGTGATGAATCTGGCCACTGAGACCGACTAAGACTTTACACCACAACACCCCGAGTCTGCCAAAGACACACACACACACACAGACACACAGAGAGAGAGTCACTCACACAAACAACATCAACGCAACATTCCTCATTCTCTCCCAAACTGCTATCTGTGCAATTTTCTTGAATTTATGAATAGTACCTTGTTCTTTTTCTTTATATTGTCTTTATTGCGTTTGCATTAGTGTCTTAGGTTAAAAACAGACTTGTTTTGGTCCTCACCACTTTTGTAGGCCTTTTAAGCTCAACTGCTTTCAGAAGAATATGACATAATTCCTCTAAAGCCACATACACTAGAGGTTAGGGCTCATGACGATATTTCTTCTAAACGTAATAATAACGGGGTAAAAAAAAATGCAATGGAGGAACATTTGACATTTCATCCTGCTCTTCTTTGAGTTGTCACTATTGAATGATTGTGGGTCACAGTAAGTGATCTTTGGCCCTGATTTCTTCTGGTAAAGAAAAATGTAGTATTTCTGTAATCAGTACGGGACTGAAGACACTACCGGTGAAGAAGCCTGGTATTCATCTAATCCATTTGTGTAAATTACATTATAGTGGTATTATATTATAGCTGGATTAAAGGTAGTGATTAAAATAAATATTTAATGCATATTCCTTTTATCTTTTTTAAAATCTAATTGTCTCACAAAACAACCAAATCCTTCCTTTTAATTAAACAGACAGAGCCTTTTCTGCCCTTTATAGATATCCCATAGCTTCTCCTCACACCATTTATTTTGTTCTCAGTTGTGTCTTCGACCCCACATATTTCCAATAGTTTTGTCTGCGACTCTGACCTCAGTGATCCCTACTCATCTGTTTCCTTGAAATGGCACTCACTGTGATCATGACACGGCAAACAAACAATCCGTGGTCGGTTGCAGCGCTGGATCAAAGTACCACTGAACCTTTCCACTGGATCCACATGCGCTGGTCAGAGGGTGGTGCAGGTGCTTGTTAACTCTCAGAAATGCACTCCGATGAAACTATCACAGCTGTGTAGCTCAAGTCGGTGTTGATTTTCAGGAGTTTTTCTGTTATAAAGTATACAATCATAACTGTGGTACATTTTGCGATGATGTCCTGGCAGAATACCACATTTTCTCAATGAAAACTCATGATTTGGAAACCGTGCTAACTTCTTTACCCGCCAATGTCTCTGTACCGTCCAGCCTGTGCTTCTCAGAAAGTGTAGCTGTTGTCATGCAGTCAGGAGTCAGGACATGCCCTTCCAAGGACAGATTAAGGAAATTACTATTTGGCTTTCATCACCCCGCTTAATACGCTCCCTGATATCACAACGTTTTCTAATCAACGGGTTTTTATGTGGCACCGACCTATAATGGAGGCAGAATGTCAAATGTGAAGAAACACCTCACTGATCCCTTTTTGAAATGCACACTCAGGTCTGTGTAGCCAAACAGGCTATATATGTTTTGAATTAGAGAAAACCCGAGCAACAACAAATGTCCTTTCCTGTTAACTGCCACATGTTTTGTCCAATTGTCCTTGAATAAGGACGCTGAACCTTTAGCTGGTTTACTAAAGTCAGTCTGGTCAAAGGTTGCCAGCTATCTGCCTGGACTGAAAATGGCTTCCTATTGTAGCCCCTCTTCACATTGTACACTCTTTTTTTTATTGTCCTCTACTGGCCTCTCCCTTAGCACGATTTATGACTGTCAGATTTTATTTTTACTGCCATAGCAAGGACGCAAGAACCGTCCGTACCTGCTACCACAACGAAAATCAATCTCTCCCTCTGTCTCCCTCTCTTTCTCTTCCCCTCTGTATCCGTGCAGGCAGCCGGCGGTAATGGGAAATGATGGAAGACAAAGGCCCTCGTGTAGCCGACTACTTTGTGGTGGCCGGTCTGACAGACCCGTCCAAGCCGTTGGACCAGGAGATCCACTTTGATGACATGTGCCACAAGTCGGCCAAGCCTAAGGCGCCCATCACTGATGTCGCCGTGGTGATCCGCTCCATGGGCGAGGAGACGCCGCCTGGGTTCACCTGCGTAGAGGAAACCCCAACAGGCCATTCAGCTGATCTGAACAATGGCGGCCTCATGGTGCCCCAGATCTTCCTCTGTTACCGGAGAGGTCGCGACAAGCCACCCCTCACTGACCTGGGGTAAGTACCAACAGGGGCTACACTGTCATGCTAGTAGCTCTGTGAGGCTGAACCTGCTGTAGACGCTAATACAATGACGATGCTAAAATGTTGATTATTAGAAGGGTACAATTTCACCATTCTCAGTCGTCTTAGTGAACCATGTTACACTTTTTGTTAATTGAGCACAAATTACAGTGGAGAATGATTTAGAATGTTCTCCTTTTTTGCTATGACATTTGGAAAACCATAGTCTAATCATCAAATATAAAGTAAAAAAAATCTATTTTAATTCAGGTACCACCAAAGTTCAAACAATTAATCACGAGGAAGGTATAAATGTCTGAAACGAATTCAAGAAGATTTATCCAATCGATTTTACTCAAGACCACAAATGTTAACCCCATGGAGACGCTAGAGTAAAAAGTCAAATAGGCTCATCAATGCCCGTACAAAATGTCACTGCAATGCCCCCAATCATTGTGAGATTTCATTCTGGATCTCAGCTGTGGGGCCATGCTGCCAGTATCTCATCAGCCCCTGTCCTGCTCAGTTAAAGGTCCCTCATTTGCTCAATCTAATGCTTCGCAGCCAAATTGAAGAGAATTAATGATCAACGACCAACCGTCAATAGGTGAATGACCGCAATTGGCTGCAGTGCTCTTTTCAGTCTGAACACAATCGTGTTGAGTGAGATTCAGTGTGAATGAGTTGTTCAGAGGAAAATCAATTGTGTCAAATCCACTGTGGACAGGCAGCTATGTTGGCATGGCTTCCACAGTACAGTATATTGAAGAATCCATTGGTTTTTATAATAAAAAATGCAGCTTTGTCATCACAGGGTCAGGGTGTTTAGCTTTTGAAGATGGTACATATAATAAGAGTGCTTCTAGAAAGAAGGAAGAATAGTTTTTGCGTTTTGGGGCACACATTTTATAATGCTTCTTGATGTTGTAGTACCTGTTTCTGCTTAATCTGCCCTAGAATATATTATCGACACGGTAGTAATGGAAACTCTGATTCACATTTTATTTCGCGGACATTTTCCGAAATTGGCTATAAACTTAAAATGTGTCTACTGAGTTTTTTCAAGGCAACTCAAATGAGTCACTGTAATGAAGTGCACAGAGCCTGAGAGCTTACTAACACACACACACACACACACACACACACACACACACACACACACACACACACACACACACACACACACACACACACACACACACACACACACACACACACGGACATTCTGTGTATGTATTGCAACCAGTCTATGATTGCAACATACTGTGTCAATGTCTGTCTCATTCCTAGTAATGATCAGCTGCTGCTCTCAGCAAACACTGTAGTTGCTGTCGTGTTTAAAAGTAGTCCATGTCATGCCGATTCTAAAAGTAAAGTGTTCTGCTCTTCCTAAAAATCCCTCCTGTGCAGCAGTTTCTACAGCGTTTACTTTCTGTCTGCCTTGCAGCCGTTCCCCATTGTGATTTTGCAACAAAAAAGTGAAATACGGTGAAGTGCTGTCACAGGTGTCCTCCTCAACAACATCCTTAGAACCGGGGGATTCAGTACCGTTTGTTGAGTCTCACAGCTCTGGCGGGCTGCAGGCGGGTGGTGACAATGCTAAGGAGGCTCATATTGGCCTCTGACTCTACAGAGTGCAGTGCTTATCAGGCACTGACTCAGTCTCTGCTCAGACACTATCAGCAGCTTCTGTGTGCTGATAGTGTAAAGGGGCTGCACTTCTCAGACACTGGCAGGATTAATGGGAAGCTGAGTTGTGTGTTAGCACGTGTCATCATTGATGTGCACTTTTACAATTGTGATAGGGAGTTGGTGCTCAGGATGCAGATGGAATAATTAGTCATATATGTGAGCAGTAGCGGAAAAGCATGCAGCTAAGTACAGCTCTACATTTAGGAACATAGTCACATTTTTGGAACCAATCAATTTAACACTTTGTAGGTGTGTTACAAAACATCAGCACATCCTGTGATTGCTTTAGTAAGTAGCTGACAACAATATATTTAGCATATGGTGTTTTCCATGTGAAATACCATCTCTGCTTCTTTTACTGGCAGGTTATTGTTTATTTCTAAGGGCGTAAATCCATTTTTCAAAATGTTATAAATCAAATGAATTACAAAATAGAAAAAATAATTACTCAAAAATTGCATTGATCATTTTCTCTTGGAAACGACTGTAATTAAACATATTTCAACAAAAATCACTATATTATCATGGCACGTGACAAAAAGCTTTATTTTAAATGAATACTTTTTCATTTTAACAATAATTTTACCTCTATTTTTCACTAAACATAAGTCTATCACTTTCCCTATAGTGTGGCCTTCATATGTATAAGAACACAAAACATCTATTAGAGTTGGGTCAGCACAAAACTCTGACATTTTCACACCACTCTTTTTATGAAGCCTTCAAGGTCCAAAGACTGGTTTAAAATCATGCAGAATTGGTGCCACTGTCAATGGAGAAAATATGTCTGTTGCATTGGTTTGACGATGGGCTCTGCATCGACAACAGGTCTAATATAACAGTGGAGAAGTGCTGACTGTGTTTGGCCTTAATGCGAGCAGAGCAGAAACACCACAGCAATGAGTACTGAAATAAAAGCAGACCAAATCAAAAAAATCTGCAGTAGGCCACTCTGAATTCTGTTTTCCCTTCAGCTTAGACCCCACAAATGCCTGGCTACTTCCACTTGAAACCGTAATGGAGGATAAGTGCTCAATAAAAACCCAAAGAGGGATGCTTAAAGTGACTGCTACTGTAACACGCTGGAGTTGTTGTGCACTAAGTGGTGGTTTGTGTGAGTGTCTTCTAGTGCCTCATCACAATACTGTACTGACTGTCCTGTACACAAATCTACATTCAAATACTGCATGAGTTCTGTCAGAGACAACAATTCCCAATTCTGATCTTAACTTAAAAATGTAATGAAATTATCATTAAAAAATATTACAGGCGATAAACTAAACACAATGTGCTCCACTTTGAAGCATGGTGAAGATATAAGGACAGCATAAAAAAGTCAGCACTCACCCAACTGAATTTCCATAACTTGCTTTCCACAGCTAAGCCCATATACAAAAGACAAAAAACTCTTTCAGTTCCTCTCTTGGCTGCAGTAGTTTGTGAGGTTGACAGTTACTTTTACCTGATTGTTTTCATCACCCAGACCGTCATTCTTTTACAGGGGTAGACATTAAGGGTAAGGGCCGGTGGAATGTTATTGTCACTGGCCCCACCATTGTAACCACTGGCCCAAGAGCATTCGTCCAGAAAATCCACTAATAATGAAGAAAATTAACACATTTGTCGCAATAGTAATTCATGCACAAACTACATTACTACTTGTACTACAACATTTGAATCATCAGTTCTTCCTCATTTTCCTCAATTGTTCATATTTGGTTTATTAAAATAATTATATTGTGGTCATTGTTAACAAATGTCTGCTATTATCATTATTATGAGTATTATTATTTGTATAATGCGCTTTCTGTCATTAGGAGTTAGACATGTAATAGCTATGTAATAGATTCGATTAGAACTTTCATTATCCTAAACTGCTGGGACATTTCTCTATAGCCAATACCTTTTATATTTTCTACCCTTCACTTACTTGTCAGCATAGGTGGTCATTGATGTACAGAGCCGACAGAAGACCTTGTTTGTATCATCATATTGAAGCCAACTCCATCGATCAAGCCAGTGTGGCTAAAACTTTCTCTCCCTCTTCTTCTCATGCTCCCTGTCACTCTCCTTTAACTCCTCCGGTGACATTCTTTTATTTGAAGATTGTTTTTTGCCCGGCTACCGCTGGTATTAAAACATTTTGGCGAATGGTTAGGTGGCGAGAAAGCCTGTAGTGAAGGAGCGCGCTCCCGCTCACGGGAGCCTGCTCGCGCTGCGCTCTGCTATGTTGTAGCGTTAATAAATGAAACAATTTAACAAAATTGCTAGTCAAAATGCCAATACCACAGGACCATTTTTTTTTAATAAGCAATATTTTTAGTGGAGCGGGCAAGTTGAAAGTACGTTATGCTGGCCCGGGGTGTCTAAATAGTGCTTCTGGGCCAGCGGGCCATTTATAATGTCGAGTCCTGCTTTACCAGCTGATTTTATAATAACGAGTTACAGAGTCACGTAAAAGCCTCATATTTCTTGTCCTTTTCCCTTCAGTGCACTCGTCTGTCAAAAACTTGCTTTCAGCTCTCATGTTGTTGTGTTATTGATTTCACAAGTGGCCCTGGGCTTGAAGGTGAGGAGACATCTTTGCACTGAGCTTGCCACTTTATAAACCCATCGATCGCTCTCTGTTTTTTCATGAATTGCATCAATTCTGCTTTGCAGTTTATGAGATGCAAAGCAGACATTAAGCTTATTCAACTCCTTCCTGTCAGCCACTGAAAACTGGGATAAACGCCCAACGTCGAACTTAAACTGGAAGCTGCGCCTAATTGGCTCAATGAGCCCACGACTGCATAATGTGCTGATTAACTCTCCATGGTAATCAAACTACTAAAGACTCAGTGATGTGGAGTTTTGTTGGCTCACTGCCGTGCTGTGCCCCCCCCGCAGCGTGCTGTACGAGTGGAAGGAGCGCCTGAAGCCGGGCTGCCAGCTGATCCAGACCACGCCTTCCGGTCGCCCCGCCAACATCAGCGGAAACTCCTCCCAGCGCATCTACGTCACCTACCGCCGGGCCCCTGAGAGCCAGCCACACAGCGCGCTGGCCCTCACCGACATCTGCATCATCGTCCCGAGCAAGGGAGAGACGCCCCCCCACACCTTCTGCAAGGTGGAGAAGAACCTCAACAGCAGCATGGTGAGAGGCACAACTGTTACAACGCCACTTTTTACTTTTTATTTGGAGAGGTGTCCATTTTTAGTGTCTGCAATGAAGTAAGGATACAGAAGTAAACATAACATATAGTTATACGTAATGTGTGTGGTTTGCATACATAATCTTAATTTGACTGGATTGGAGTCTCCCTTAGTTCTGTAGTGTGAAAGCTAAAGAGCGCAAGTTTACTTAGAAGCTCAACCAACATGTAAGAAGTACAAGATGACATGGAGACTTTTTGCAATGACCATGAGTAAGCCAGACAAATACTGTCAGATTCAGCTCTATACAATGGCGATTTAAAATGGTGGGGTCATGTTGGCAAGATGCAGAGCTTCTCTGAGTCTTTTGTCATGAAACATATTGAGCTGTTGTGAAGGTAAGAGAAATGAGAAATAGGGTGCATCTCACCTGTTGCTTCTTTTTCCAATTAACTGTGGTTTTCAGTGGTTTGGTAAGAGAATTCAGCCCCTAGGTTACTCACTTAAAAACTGGCTTGTGCATTCAAGTATGGAAAATTGTGTAAAACCATCCTACATTGCCTACTCGGGTAGTTTTCTTATTCTGTGTGTTTATACTGTTGCAGTCTCCTTTTTGTTGTTGAGGGAAGTCCCTGAAGTCTTCTCTTGTGTTCAGTTAAATCATCACCTAGGGCTGCACTAAATAAATAATAATAATTTATAATAATCTAATTGCGATTTTTCTGATAGATATTGCGATTCGATTTGCGATATTATTTAAGCGACCCAACGGAAGTTTATTGTAAGATGCAGCCATATCTCTGGCTAGGAAGGTTGCATCAACGTGCTCCCATCTCTAGCACCCCCGCAGCCCGAGCTACGAGTGAAAGAACTAAACGTACATGAAACTTCCGTTGGGTTGCTTTAAAGTCAAGCTTCAGTTTAAGATTCACCCTGTAATAGAAACATGTGATGGAGCATTACTAACCTGACTCAGATGGTTTGTTTCACCAGACCATCTAGGAAAGCTCCATTGGAAGCCATTTGGAAAGGGCAGGCACTTTCAAAAGCACTTGGCAGGTGATTGGATCAATCTGTCTATCACCTTCTATCATGGGCCACTTCTGATTGGTTAACAATGGCTGATACATGTGGAGCACAGCACTTCTGATTGGTGTGGATGACTGACACAGAAGAGGAAAAAAAAGTTTAAAAAGAAAATCGCAGGCTTTCTGATTTGATAATCGCATCATTTCAAAACGCGATTTCGGTTTAAAATCGATTAATCGTTCAGCCCTATCATCACCCACAATTTACTCTCAGACAAATATATCTTGGTATTTATAAAATTGTTGTAGTGACAGCTTTGTCTACATTTGGTATTTTACAATATCCTTTGAAAAATGATATGCGTCTCTGTGGCTTACATGTGTCTGAAAACCACTGCAAGAGAAGTCAAGGATCCTACAATAAAAACGGTATTTAGCTTCACATTTTTCATTCTGACTAATGTTGGAGCTTTGAAGATCATTTTAATATTTCAGCACAGTCCTCGGTGCTTGCTTCATGTCCTGCCCCGGGTTGTGAAAGATTTATGGCAAGTTTGAGTTGCCGTAGAGCATCTTCCCCTCACAGTGACTAATTGTTACAAACAAGATGTTTATCAGATGTCTCATCACTTCTCTCTACATGCTAATAGCTCAATGAGTGAAGCCTGTGAGTTTAGTTGGGCTTCTGGTTTCAATGTGTAGGTTTAAGCTGTCGGCGGGGTAATAAAAGTATTTTACAGTTTATAGATAATTACACTGACTGGCTTTATGGGGTGTTTAATTGGATTATAAATGATAACAGACTGCTTTCGTGGACAAAGGGCTTTACTATTAACCTCTATTTTGCACACTGTCCTTCCCACACACACAGTATGCCCAGTTCAGAGGAAAGGTTGAGAAAAGACCAAACCGCTTAGAAATGCTGCAGCGAAACACTTCAGCGGTGTGATTTTAAAAGCATCTCCTGCTTCTCAAGTTGCCACAGGCGGCTTTTAAAATGTAAAGCACATCACGGTTTAAACTGCCAATCATTTAGTAGAAAAGTCAGCTAGTGAAGTCAGTTAAGAAACTTTAAAACGCTTTAGAAGGAGAAAGGACAGGATCAGTTAATGAAATGGTGTCGTGATAATTAGTGATTTCTCTTATTAGAGATGACACCAACTCTTTGACGTAACCATACGTTTCTTGAAGATGTACAAGGGTCAAGATTTCATGAATCTGCTGCTTAAACATTATATTCGAATACATTTAGTTTTGAAACCCTGGTAAGGGACAATAAGCAAACATGCACTTTGTGAAATGAATATGTTTGTTTTTATGCTCATGTTGACTTTGATGGATAATACTGTGTTTGCATCAGGTTTCAATCCTCTAATTGTTTTTATAAAGTAGAAAATCAGTCTTATCTGACTTCTTGTTAGTTGTAAAAATTCCAAATATGTTGCTCCTTCCACCAAGAGCCCATGCAGCAAAAACACAATTTACCACATGTTTTGCATTTTAAAGCGGCTTTACATACAAATCAACCTAAATGATCCTTTCAAAACATCCAACTGACATTGTTGTGTGTAGTTTCATCATATCACCATATCAAGATTAATTCCATTTTTGTATCAGAGAAACTAGACAATGGCTTCAAATTTGATTCAACTTGGCACTATTATTATCCTCTTGTTACTGAATGGCCCTAAAGTGGCGTGTGTCATTCATCACAAACACCACGCTAACTGTTTCTGTTGCTCTCTTGTATTCAGTGGGGCTCCTCTGTCTACCTGTGTTATAAGAAGTCTGTGGCCAAAACCAACACAATAGCCTACAAAGCAGGTAAGCCCTCCTAACCCTATAACTAACACTGCACGCAGATCCAAATACCAATATACAATACAAAATATCAGATAATTGTGTGCAAAAAACGTAATCTTCCTTTAGTCACACTTATTCTGCCTGTATCAAATCAAATCAAGTTTTATTTATATAGCACATTTATTAACGATTTTTGGTCGAGCCAAAGTGCTGTACATATAATAAAAATAGCCTACAGTAGAGACACTTTACAGCAAATACAACAGCACAGATTGTTCAGAATATCAGTATGAGAAAAACGACACCCTCTATCCTTAGACCCTCTGTCCTTAGACCCTCTATCCTTAGACCCTCTGTCCTTAGACCCTCTGTCCTTAGACCCTCACATCGTACAAGGAAACACTTCCAGAGAAAACCCACAGTTTAAGGGAAACATGGGAGAAACCTCAGGGAGAGCAACAGAGGAGGGATCCCTCTCCCAGGACGGACAGACGTGCAATAGATGCCGTGTGTACATCGAAGAGATAATACATTTTACAGCATATAGACCGAATGTTAGGAAATGCATGTGTCTGTAATAAGAAGATGAATCCACGAGGATGTCAGCTACAATCCTGTGGAAGCCATCAGGGAAGCAGCATGACGAGACCCAAGGCAGGCCCGCAGAGACAGGTTCAGCCACGACCCGAAGTCCACGACTTAATCCAGAACTCAGGATAGAGGATCCAAGACACAGGACTACAGCAAGAGGATCAGCCTCGACTCCGGATCCCGGCGTAGATATAGATACAAAATAATAAAAAAGATTTGGCTGGGTTAATCGGAACAAGAGAATACACAGACACAGACAGAGAGGGAAAAGGTAATTGGATAAAAGTTATTCTTGATAACCCTCTAGAAAGATCTCATGAACTTCCCCACTCAATCTATCAAGACCCGAGCAGTTCTATTAGATATAGGATAAGAAACAGAGATAGGGAGCACAACAACCTATCTCTTCAGCCAGTATGACCATTGGATAGTCGTACATGTGTTTTTTGTTGCATTAGAAGAAATGTGGACAAGTTGTTCTAAAAAATAAGCTGATTTTGAAACAATAACTATTTCTTGCATTGACACTTATTAACTATATTTGTTGCAGCTGTTGTACAAACGTCTCTAGAGTCTTCCACAGAGTGAACTGGCTGCATGAGGACATTCTGATTCAGCTGGGCTTGCAAGTTTGGGCTTGTTGAAGCATGTTAATGCCTCAGAATTAGAGATGAGATGAGCCTCTGCACACCAATATTCTTCTCATATAATTAAGTTCAAGGTGTGCCCTAAATGTAATGGTATTATGAGGCTTATTTCACATTAAATCCATTTGACTTTTTAATTTCAAACACAGCTGACAGAAGATTGTCAGTGTGTGATAACACTGTTGGCTCTGTGTAGCTGTGTTTGGCACGGGCTCAGATTGGCTGGCTGAGGTTTTGTTGTACATATCTTGAAAAATGCAACAGACTGTGAACGGAGCGATCCTATCTGTTTCTCACTTTGCATGAGTCAGCTCACACAAATTACGTTTATTTTCTACACTTGAGGCCAAGAAGAATTACGCAGACATCAAGATTTGAGTAAAGACTAATGTTAACAGTTTGAGCCAGAACTGAGCAAAATAAATATTGGTTGGTTGGGGGATACGTGGAAATATTGTAAAGTGTGCACATTTAACCTTAGAGTAGTGCCTACACCAGACATTCCTACCTTTTTACAGTGTTTCCCTTTTCAAACTCAACACTTTAAAGTGTCTTTAATTATTTAACAGATACTTTTCCATATCCACATGAGCCGCTCTTCACATTGGCATATATTAGATTCACCACACAGAACTTATTAAAAAAGGAAATATGTAACTTTTAAAGCCGGTTAGCCTGTTCTTCTTATTTATTTTCTCCAAAACACCCCAGGAGCCAATGAAAGGAGTTGCATTCTCATCAAAACAACATTATGATTGTTGTGTTAACTGCACATACGAGGCCACATTGCCTCCTTTGAACACTCACAAGCCATGTCCCCTTTTGAAAGGGGCCATGCATTGCTTATTTCAGATAAAAGGCACCAGGCCTTTGTTTTAACCACATAATATATTCTCTGTACTAGCTCCAAAGAACAACTACACACAAGTGTCTGCTACTGTTGATTACTGTATTGTTAAGCCAGGTCAAAACATTACTTAGTAAAACATTTTGCACCGTTTTTTGTCACATGTGTTGTGCTTGTACAACACTCCTTTTGTCAAAATGTTCAATAATTAGCATGTAACTGGTAATGTTACTGCTCGGGGTCACTTATCACTAAACAAAATGACACTGCAGTAGACAAAGGTAATAACCCGAGTCTCTGCATTAGCTTTTCGAAACTGTAATCTGATGAATATTGTACAAAGCATCATAGTTTTAGTTGCTGACACAGCAATTGGTGTTTATTTGTTCCCTCTGTGGGGCTATTAATGTAGCTGCGCACTTGCAGGTGTTTTCATGATGAATATTTGTGGCTACACTCTTAGTGAAGTGTTTAAAAATAAAGTCTAACAGTCCATCCTTACAACTGAAAGTGTGAATGTGTGCTTTAAAATGTGCACTAACAATCTTTCAACATTTATGGAATTAAAGGTGGGGTAGGTAAGTTTCAGAAACCGGCTCGAGTGCACTAACATTTGAAAGTACACAGCCGAAAAGAATCCGCCCCTTCCTTACAGAGCACCTCCTCCAACACACATGAACGCGCACATGACGTCAGCAGACTGGTGAAAGTGGCCGCCTGTTGCTGGCGAGTCATTGAAGTACTGCTGCAATGCACGCCCAATGACGGCACGCCCAATGAGGGCACGAGATACATTTGTGCGTGCACGAGATGGAAGGCTGACAGACAGGGCGCCAATCCAATCCGTTTAGCCGGCCCGGCTATCGGGATGTTAAGAGCATTCCATGGAATATAACAAAAAGTGTATCTCGAGCCGGTTTCTGAAACTTACCTACCCCACCTATAACTTTCTTATTAAATATGGTAGAGAACGGTTTGAATGTACGCAGTAAAACAATGTTCACAACACAAACTGTTTTTCTAAAGTTTGTGTTTGTTAATGATGCTTGTAGAATCAATGAGCCAAAGTTAGACAAAGCACAGAGTTAAGAAAATTCACAAATAAAATCTCTTCTTCATTGTTTCTCATTTGTGTCTGCTGACAGTGACTAATGACCCAAAGGCCTGATGACCGAGAAGTAATTGCTTGTTAGAAAGCCAGGAGGTTCTATTGAAACTCTGACTCAATAAAGTACATTATCAATGTGATTATGATGGATGGAACTTGTTTTGTTTCTTTTTAAACTCTGTGGAAATTCAGCTGGCATCTAAATCAGCTCCTAATGGTGATCACAGGGGGAAGGTGCACTTTGCTGCTCTCTTAATTGAGTTCTCTGTTATTTTCCTGTCCCAGGTTTATTCAGCAGATATCCAGAGGAGGACTATGAGTCATTCCCTCTGCCAGAGTCTGTCCCTCTCTTCTGCCTTCCCATGGGGGCCACGATTGAGTGCTGGCCAGCGAACACCAAATACTCCCTCCCCGTGTTCTCCACCTTTGTCCTCACCGGATCCTCTGGAGAGAAGGTAAAGTGGATAAATGGATAAAATACACACTTCTGTTCTACTTTCTTTCTCAGCCTGAAGAATACCAAGTATCTCAGTGGCAGTGTCAGACAATAAAGGCTGCGAGTGACTGCCAGTGCCAGTTAGACCACATCAACAGACTTTAACTGCCATCTATACAGCTGACATAACCACAGATCAACGCTCTACAGTGTGGCATGACAAAACCAAAATACACTGCATGCCCTAAGGGAAAGTGGGTCAGGCATGCATGTTGACTCACTCAGGTGGAAAAACTTCTAGTGTTTCTTTTTGTAGGATAAGCCCATTTGTAAAAAATAAACCCACAAATAATGTAGCACATGTATAAACACTAACACACTTTTTTTTTTTAAATACACCCAAGGCCAGATACACAATGTTTTCACATTTACCTCCCATTCTCCTGTGCTCGAGGATAAACTGACTACCATTTCACAAAAATATCTTAAAGGGTGATTATGCTTCTGCACAGATAAATGTTTTTGTGAATATACGCAGGACAGGTGGTAAAGGGTTACGCACACATCTCAAAAATATCAACATGTGTAGTGCCGGTCAGGCCCTTCAAACACGCTGATGGTTAACCCAGCACTCTATGGGGAAGTTTTCCAATGTGATTTCCTCAACAGGTTGGCTGGCCGGCTGTTGTGATTGGTCAACTGCTTTGATATGTCCCGCCCTTTAACCACGTACAATTTGAAGCCAATAGAGCTGTAAGTGTTACATTGTAGTGTCACTATGTCGCTAAAGTAAACAAAGGAGTCCAATCGAGTTACTTTGGTTTGTTTACGACGTTCTGAAAATTAATTATTTTCAGATTTCTTTTATGTTTTTGACCCACTAATCTGTACATCCATAGGAGCTGGGAACCGCCAGCTGATAAGCTTTTTTGCCCACAGTTGGCACTCAGGGTATTGATGTTCAATAAAGGTTAAACAGAGGTGCACTGTGCTTACTTTATTTCTGTGCTCATCGATGTTTTCATCTGTCTAAGAGGGCCGGGAATATTCAGAGGATGGGTAGAGGAGTCTGACTGTTTGCTCCTTTTTTAATATTAGTTCATTTGATGGATGTAGCAGTTGCTAAAAGAAAATTCTGGATTGTTCTCATTTCTTCAAAAGGCTGTTTAAGGTTCCAGACATATTTTGAGAGTTGAAGTGAGAATAAGAATTAGGTAAAAGTTAGTCGTGTTTGTGTGTGTTTATACATACATTACAGCTTTTATTAGCAGATTAATAAGCATATTGGCCACTATTTAGATGTATGTATAGCTTTGTAACAATGAGACACAGCATGGCTTTACATTGCTTAACAATCGCGCTTCTATTGGCTAGCGCTCAAACTGATTGTACGTGATAGGCTAAGGGACGGGACATCTTTAAGCGGTTGACCAATCACAACAGAGCCGGCCAGCTAACCAATCAGAGCAGACTGGGCTCTGGTTTCAGACAGAGGGTGAAAAGAGGCAGTATGAGAAAAATAAAGAGCTTTTTGAACATTAAAGCATGTAAACATGTCATAGTAGAGGCACTACATTCACAAATTAAACCTGAATTGGAGCACAATAGGGCCCCTTTAAGTTGTACTCCATACGGTGATGTGATACGTGTGCAGATGCTGAGCTGTGTATCCGACATGTTTCAGGTGTACGGTGCCGCCATCCAGTTCTACGAGCCCTTCCCCCAGGTGTGTCTGACTGATGCACAGCGCTCCCAGCTGGGTCTCCTGAGTCCAGATCCAGTACAACCAGCCTCCTCCAGCTGTACGGAGACATCCACCAGCACCACCAGCAGCCCGGCCAAAGCCCAATGCTCCGTCTACACCAACAAGTGCATCTGTCTGCTTTCCCACTGGCCCTTCTTCGACGCTTTCCGCAAGTTCCTCACATTCCTATATCGCTACTCCATCTCCTGCCCTCACGCCCTGCCCATCGAGAAGTAAGCTCTCTTTCTTATCTCTTGATTTTTATGCTTTTTTTCTTGCTAAAAGTGATTTTTACACGTTGTTCTTTATCAAGTTGCAAAGTGTGGGTGAAGTCACTAGTTTCAGATTAGTCTGTTCACATTCTCCATTTCCATTATAGATGTTTAATTAAAAGAAGTCTTTAATGTAACTCAACCTAGAGAAACGTCACTCTCCCAGATAATGTACAGTCATAAAGGTTCATTTTCTAACCACTACTGAATAATGATTCATTGATTGTTTTAACCACCCGTTAGTGGTGCAGGACACATTTTAACCTAAGTGATTTGATATTTCCTGCTGAAATGCACCCTGGGTGTTGTAGGTAACTTTACACTCCATAACCGTGTCTTTTTTAATACAGTTTTTCATATTTTGTATATGATAGGGAGAGTTAAGTTCAGCTTTTTAGAACTTTGAGTCACGTAAAATGATCTTTAGGAAAAATGAATTAATCTTTCAATTCTGGAACCAATGGGGCCTGAAGTACCGGTAGCTCTTATCATTTCACAACTCTGTAATCTTTTCTGACAATATATCCTCTGTTTAATTTTGAAATGTCTCTAAAGTCATATTCTGACAGGATTTAAATCAAAGATGAGCTCAGGTGATATTAAAAGCTCTCAACCCCCTCTAGAGAAATAAATCCAGTTTAAATGGAACTCATGACAGAAATATTATTTATTCCTTGACAAAAGTGCATCATTCTTTAACAGCAAATTACCACACACTGTCAACCTTACTAAATCAAAGGAGATATTATCAATATGTGATATGCAGAGGTACGGACAGCAAAGCCTTATGTTTAATGCTGATGTGGTTCTATCTGTACACTAGGAAAATGTCTGTGCTTGCTAATGTCGCAGATAGTCTAGCAATACACCAAATAACTAAATAGGTCCTGAAAGCAAGTTGTTTGAGGTTGAATATTTACTTTACCACTTTGGTAAGGTGAATTAACAGAATATATTTGACTGCTGCTCGTAACTCTTAGGCTTCCCGACTTTAAGAGGTGCATTGACTTATCATTCATACATTAGCTGCCTGTAGCGGCCAGAATAATAATGAAATAAAACAGATAATTAACTTAAAATAACACTGCCGCTGAGGCAACATTTAGCTAATCTTACGCTGGGCAATGATCCAAATCCACTCAGTAATCTCCGTTTGTGCATGATCCAATATCATTAACAAGAGAAAAATGAATATGTTTCCTATCTATTCCTTTCCTTAAGCCTTTCCTATGGCTTTCCTTGTGGCTTGAATCACCCTTTTAAAAAAACATGTGCCTACTAGTGCGCTACCCCCACCACCACCTGCCCCCAATATGTACAATTACACCAGGGTCCTAATCACCCAGTGCCCAAACATGCCCTCAAAATAAAAGCATAAAAACTCCTTTAACTCAATTAAATAACAACACTAAATAATAATACAGTACATTCACTTTAAACAGATACAACAAGTAAATAAATACATGTTTAACTATTAATAATATAAAGCAATATATAGCTCCAACACTGCCCATTATTCTTTGTTTCCCCCACAGGCACATCTCTCATTTTATGCACAAAGTTCCCTTCCCTTCCTCTCAGAGGCCTCGCATCCTGGTGCAGGTACGTTTGGCTCGCAGGAGGCATGTATTGTTTGCTGCATATGGCGCATGTGATAAATAGCTATTAATCATTCTGCAGACAGTAGTGTTGTTTTCATACATTGTTTACGAATGCCTGCAGGGTGCCGATTCTTTCCTCCTTTATGGATGAATATTAAATGATTCAGTGCAGGCATATTTTGTTGGGTTGGTTTATCTCACTCTCCAGCTTTTCTGCAGCTTTCCCCTCATGACAGCCTGATGTTGAGCCAGCCAGTGTCTTCTCCCTTACCGCTCAGGTAAGAGCCGCTGCACACACACGTGTCTTCTTGTTAGATGTTATAGAATAATGCAATTTCTAACTGACTGTCACAAGGATGCACTGTATGAGCTGTATATGGTTGAGCATAGTTCAGATCTTGTATTGATTTATAAGACTGTTAATTGTTTGAAACATTTTCAATAAGAAAGCACAGGTAGATCTTATATACTGTATATTATATTGTCAATTTTGAGCTGCCCTCATACACTTAAAAACATAATTCATCAAATACCAATATTAGATTTCCAATTCAACAATATCTTTTTAGTATTTTTCGACCCCATAATCTGTTTAATGGCCACAATGAGTTAAAACCTGTAGTAGTTTCTCCTGGCTGTATCTGGAACATTTTTATTTAATTTTGTTTTGCACATTTGTGTTTGTCGTAGCGGTGGTCGATTTTCCACGCTGCTCCAGAACCTCGGACCAGAGAACGCCGTCACCCTGCTGGTGTTTGCCGTCACTGAACACAAGATCCTGGTGCACTCGTTACGCCCCGCCGTGCTGACCAGCGTCACCGAGGCTCTGGTGTCGGTAGGTTCCTCTCTTCAGCTTCAGACGGGGGGTTGTTTTCTATCCTCTCACCTGTTAGCGTTAAACTCTTAATGCAGCCATGCTCCTCATTACTTTTGTAAACTCCAGCTTTTGTATTTTTAGTAACTGCTGCAATGTTCCTTATGTTTTTATAGTCACGGAATTTGTCACTATCAGTTGGTAGCGGCTTAAGTCATAAACTGTGTTTTGTGGTTATTGTCATCCTCAACTAATATATTTACATCATGTTCTTTTCTCTGCTAACCTGAATGTTGAGATCTTTGACATGAGCCCTTTTTTATTTTTTCCATCCTCTTCCTCAGATGATCTTCCCGTTCCACTGGCAGTGCCCGTATATTCCTCTGTGCCCACTGGCGCTGGCTGACGTATTAAGCGCCCCCTGTCCATTCATCGTAGGAGTGGACTCCCGCTACTTTGACCTTTATGACCCCCCACCAGATGTGAGCTGCGTGGATCTGGACACAAACACCATCTTCCAGTAAGCCCTGAATGCAAAACCTCCCATTGTTGCTGCTATATTATTTATGTGAAGGGTGATATCTGTAAAAGGACCGTTTTGGATACTCGGTTGCCTTCTCATGATGCAAATGAAGTGGGATCATAGTGTGAGGGATTAACCTCAGGGCATTAAGCCGCATATAGGCTGTACGGCGCTCTTAGTTTAGAGCTCAACATTGTTTCCTTTGCTGCATATTTTTTTCCAAACCACAAAACTGCCAGTTCACGAGTTCTTACTTTAGAGGCCAGACCGTTTTCCTGGAGTCTGGGTGAGAATGGTTATTTTTCTAGTGTCAGGCTCGTTTTAATATGAAGAGAATGCATTTTTCTAAGGCCTCATGTAAGGTCAGTTATGGTTCACATCATTTTTTCTGGCCTCATTACCAGTAAAACAGCATTAGGGTGGTCTCCCCCCCGGCCCACCTCTCTTCATGTTGGTTTTGGCCTCTCAGCCTCTCCAAAGCTCACTGTGTGCTTCTCCTTTACCAGCAATGAAGATAAGCGAGCCCTCACGTGGAAGATTCTGCCAAAGAAAGCCTGTAAAAACCTGATGAATGTGCTGAGCAATCTCCACCAGCAGCTGGTCGACGGTGAGTTCTGATCTGATAAAACAAAAAAACATTAGAGCATCGGTAGTCCTTCATGTGTGGCAAAGTCAAATTCAGCAACCTTTTCCATTCACCTGGTTTTCAGTTTGTGTTCAGTTCAATAAAAGGTTGCGGCTGTAAAAATAACTGGGTTGTCATTCCGTTGCATTCTCGGGAACACGATACTTGAGGAACTACTGGAGGGACTTCCTTTTACATTTTGCACTACAATTCAAATGGACCTAAAGTATGAACTGATGAGATTTTGGTAGCCAAATATCAAAGGTCACTGTGACCTCAAAAGCAATTGTTTTGCCCAACTCAAGAATTGATATGCTAAGTATAACAATTTCACACAAATAACTTATAGGACAACATTATAAAGTGATTATTTAAAAATTAAAGTGACAGATCCTCACAGATTGTTTAAAGCTTTATTTATCATCTTTAGTTTCAGTCCATGCAATTTGTTCTCCATTCAAACTACTGTTCTGCTCTCCAATCCACTCATTGAAATATGAATAATCCCATAATGTCCTTTAATTACTACTCTGTGGTGCTGATTGTATTTCTGCCAACTTTCTCTGCTCCTCTAAGAGCTTGCTCCCTAAGAGATCATGAAACCTGATTGAGTTTGAGTTTATTTTTTCTAATGATGTAAGCCTTACCCTTATTTGCTAATATGAATACTAACTTACTTAAAGTAGTGCTCTGGTGTAAGAACCTTCAATACAAATCCTTTGATCGTAAAGACTCCACCAAAATGCAAAAGATGGAACAGCAGCAAAAGTGATGATTCAACCATTATGTTGACATGTAGAGATTCTATTAGTTTGTAGTGATGGCTGCTGATGTATTTCCTCTTCTGTCTTTAGGTCAGCAGCGTCCTGACGGGCTGCTGGAGCTGAGCATGAATGATTTGACAGAGCTGAGCTGTGGTAAGAGCCTCCACACGCTGGAGCTGGAGATCCAGGAAGCCTTTCTGCGCTTCATGGCGGCCATTTTGAAAGGCTACCGCTCATTCTTGCGACCCATCACCCAGGCACCTTCTGAGAAAGCGACGGACGCCAGCTCCCTCTTTGACCTGCAAGGTATCTGGAATAATGTCACTTTGACCACTTGTAACCAAAACTTTGGGTCACTTAACGTAACCTTGGTTCTTTGATAACCTGCAGTGCAGAGGAAACAACGTGAAAATAAATGTATCTGTAAACAGATGGTTTAAGCTTTACTGTTTTATTCCAGTAATCTGAAGAACTTGTTCTGTCAAGCGAAATAAAGCTAGTCCACAACAAACTCCTGCTTGGTAGAAATATTGGTTTGTCGTGAATAAACAATAGAAAGCCCATAATCACTGCATGATTTAGAAGCTTTGATTATAGTCATTCTAGCAAAAAATAATCAGAAGCAGCTTTGGCATGTTTTGACAGCCCTCCTTATGCACACAGATGATGATTGAATGTAGGAAGATGACTTGTAGTTCCAAGGTCAAGAATAAACTTTCATGCACAAGGACTTGACAAAACATTTCAATAGAAAGACATCTGTTTCAGAAAATCTTTTTCTGATAATACTTATATAATACACTGAACAAAAATATAAACGCAACACTTTTGTTTTTGCTCCCATTTTTCATGAGATGAACTCAAAGATCTAAAACATTTTCTATATACACAAAATAACTATTTCTCTCAAATATTGTTCACAAATCTGAAAAAATCTGTGATAGTGAGCACTTCTCCTTTGCCGAGATAATCCATCCCACCTCACAGGTGTGGCATATCAAGATGCTGATTAGACAGCATGATTATTGCACAGGTGTGCCTTAGGCTGGCCACAATAAAAGGCCACTCTGAAATGTTCAGTTTTATCACACAGCACAATGCCACAGATGTTGCAAGTTTTGAGGGAGCGTGCAATTGGCATGCTGACAGCAGGAATGTCCACCAGAGCTGTTGCCCGTGAATTGAATGTTCATTTCTCTACCATAAGCCGTCTCCAAAGGCGTTTCAGAGAATTTGGCAGTACATCCAACCAGCCTCACAACCGCAGACCACGTGTAACCACACCAGCCCAGGACCTCCACATCCAGCATGTTCACCTCCAAGATCGTCTGAGACCAGCCACTCGGACAGCTGCTGCAACAATCGGTTTGCATAACCAAAGAATGTCTGCACAAACTGTCAGAAACCGTCTCAGAGAAGCTCATCTGCATGCTCGTCGTCCTCATCGGGGTCTCGACCTGACTCCGGTTCGTCGTCGTAACCGACTTGAGTGGGCAAATGCTCACATTTGATGGCGTCTGGCACGTTAGAGAGGTGTTCTCTTCACGGATGAATCCCGGTTTTCACTGTTCAGGGCAGATGGCAGACAGCGTGTGTGGCGTCGTGTGGGTGAGCGGTTTTCTGATGTCAATGTTGTGAATCGAGGGGCCCATGGTGGTGGTGGGGTTATGGTATGGGCAGGCGTATGTTATGGACGACGAACACAGGTGCATTTTATTGATGGCATTGTGAATGCACAGAGATACCGTGACGAGATCCTGAGGCCCATTGTTGTGCCATTCATCCACGACCATCACCTCATGTTGCAGCATGATAATGCACGGCCCCATGTTGCAAGGATCTGTACACAATTCCTGGAGGCTGAAAACATCCCAGTTCTTGCATGGCCAGCATACTCACCGGACATGTCACCCATTGAGCATGTTTGGGATGCTCTGGATCGGCGTATACGACAGCGTGTTCCAGATCCTGCCAATATCCAGCAACTTCGCACAGCCATTGAAGAGGAGTGGACCAACATTCCACAGGCCACAATCAACAACCTGATCAACTCTGTGCGAAGGAGATGTGTTGCACTGCGTGAGGCAAATGGTGGTCACACCAGATACTGACTGGTTTTCGGACCCCCCCAGACCCCCCCAATAAAGCAAAACTGCACGTTTCAGAGTGACCTTTTATTGTGGCCAGCCAAAGGCACACCTGTGCAATAATCATGCTGTCTAATCAGCATCTTGATATGCCACACCTGTGAGGTGGGATGGATTATCTCAGCAAAGGAGAAGTGCTCACTATCACAGATTTTTTCAGATTTGTGAACAATATTTGAGAGAAATGGTTATTTTGTGTATATAGAAAATGTTTTAGATCTTTGAGTTCATCTCATAAAAAATGGGAGCAAAAACAAAAGTGTTGCGTTTATATTTTTGTTCAATGTATATATATATATATATATATATATATATATATATATATATATATATATATATATATATATATATGTCAGTCAGTCATGTTTGGTGGTATAGCTCTGTATAAAATACAGTATAATGTCTGAATTGGCTCTACAGGCCTGCATCTCCTTGAGAAATATCACATCAGTCTTTTTTAAACATTTGGAATTCACTTAGAGCTTCTCATGTACCTCAGTTCCCGAGGGTCATGTCAAAGTTATTGGAGAAAAAACTGTGCTGATATTTACTTAAATAATCGAATGAGTTACTGATTTAAATGTTAAAATAGCGAAGGGGAGAAGAAAACTGTTTGAGTACAGGACATTGTAGACGGATAAAAAATATTTGAACCTTAATTGTTTAGTTTGCTCCACTTTCATCATAATTTAGGCTTCAGCCACAACTATGAAGGTACAGTCCATAATTAGCGCTTATGTGTCTTTGAATACATAAACTAAAAACTGTGTCATATGTAGCTCCTTCCTCTCTACAGCTGGCCAGCTTCAGAGACGGATGGCGTTGTTTAATACATGAGTTCTCATAAGTGTCCATCCTCAGCTCTGAGTAAACACACACAAAGTGTTTGGGTAGGGAGGTTTGAGGAGTTGTTGGATGTTCAAGGCTGCTGGCAGACTGAAGGTTAGTCGGTTAGCACCGCAGCTGCTAAATGCTCCCGAGGCCCGAGTGTAGCCTCTGGATGGGAGCCCGTGAAAGCAGGGTGACATCACAGCTGAAATGAGTTGGGGAGAAATCACGGAGGATAGCTGTTGCCAAGTTCGTGTCCAGTGTGAGTTATATGATACAGCAAAAGGAATGGCTGCAGTACATTACATAATGACTGGAGGAAAGATGTAACTGCTGCTCGTGCATCATGTGTATGAACTCCTGACCGTTTTTTCGGATCTATAACAACAAAATTACACGGGGTGTTAATGTGCTTGTGTAGATTTCCCTGCGGACCCGTAAAAATCACAGTTTCCTCCATCATGTGATTAAAGTGCTTTCAGTCGGACGGCTGTGACTTTATTAGTGCGTCATACAGATTGTGTCTGCAGTTTCTTTTAGCTTCACAAACTGTGGTTAATGTTGGTATAGGTGTGTGTGCATCTATTAGCGTCCAAGGTCAGAAATAATTAAAGGGTGACAAAAAACTTAACTTAATACTGGACCTTCGGTGCTCAACAACTACGGTATGGGTTTTTGAGTTTTTTGTTGCCTTAAAGATCAAATGCAAAGGTTTTTTTATAATTGCCAGTAAAATCGAAATCATATAGCTACAACACAATCTAAGATATTGCAGTATTAAAATCGGAGATAATATGCGTCTGGCAATGCGCAATATTTATTTTGTTCAACCCCCAACACCAAGTCCGACGATTTATTTTCTCAGCCGCTCCTCCGCAAGATGGCGTCGCGTGACGTCACAGTGGCCAAACAAACAAACAAACCTTGGCTTATCGCTCACAGCTGCTTCCGCCGATAGTACAACTTAGTTTCGTTATCATGTCTGATTCTGAGTAGACTATAGACTAAAAGCTTTAGGAATCCAAACTATAACATATAATAAGTACCCTGTATCAAGATTGATGCAAAACAAGTGACGTTTGACCTTTTTAGAGAGGTTTAGAAAAATAAAGTCCAGGCGGACTCACCACTGGGTAATTTGGGAACCATCACAACCAAACACAATGCTAACAGATACTCAGATATATAATACTCATAATGAAATTATGAGTATTATATATACTGGGCTCTGTTGAGAGTGTTTTTAGACTCTGCTGGCAGTAGGGACTTGGATCAGTTGATGGTCCAGCTGCCAGTGTCAGGACTAAAATATTTATCAGCTTCAGGAAGTGTTCCTCTGCAGCGTTGGCCGTCAGGGTTTGGCTTCCACCTCTGTGCTGTCGGCCAGTAGTCATCCATCCTGCTTTCAGTCTAAAACTATTAGTCTGTTTGGCTGCTTTCAGGATCTGTGACGGAAGCCATTCACCACAATGTTGTACATCCCAAATCAGCCATTAGACTAATAAAACGTGTTGGCTTGCCTTAGCAAACGAGACGAATGGAGGTTATATATACTAATGTATATCTAAAGACCCTTCTATAGGACGATGGAGTTTTTAACCACAAAATCATACACATCTATGTTAAAAAAAACTTGCTACTACATTATAAATGATCTTTTAACCGGTCAGCACATTAGAAAATAAAAGAAGTCTCAGCAATGAAAGATAACTTTTATTTGTAAAAAAGCTAACCTAACGTTTTTTTGTCCTCAGGGTTCTTAAAGAGCCGGGACCGCTCCCATCAGAAGTTCTACTCGCTGATGACCAAAACGCAAATGTTCATCCGCTTTATTGAGGAATGTTCTTTCGTCAGCGACAAAGACGCCAGTCTGGCCTTCTTCGACGACTGTGTGGACAAAGTAAGTGTGTTGGTTAATCACACAGCACAAACTGCATATTTTTGTGTTCATTTGAATTACATTCAACTTCTCACAAAAACCTTCAAATCATCAATGGCAGTTTCACCAGGCTGCTTTGCTTTGTGCTCCACTTATCATAGTATTAATACGTTCCACTCTTCTGTGTTACTTCACATGTGGTAAGCCGAACCTTTCCTTTCCCAATTTCCTGAGTTTCTCTTTCTCTTTCTGCCTCTGTTTGCGAGCAGCTCTACAATTCCGAGCGGAGTGCAGACAAAGCAGGCAAGGTAAGATTATAGTTATTTGGTTTTCAATTCTCACCTATTGCGTCTACATTTTGTTCTCAGATGGAGGATTTGTGCATGGTGCGTGGTCCAAGAGTTCCTTACAATCCAAGCTGTCACCTTCTTAGATCTTTTCATCTTTAATGAAAATCTGAATTTTCCCCATCTATATCAAGTTTGCTGAGGCAGCAGTTTGTCTTGAAACTGCAGCTCCATAGAAAATCCTTTTCTGCCCTAAATATTTCACGACTGGCTAGAGTAAGGGCTTTTACCGCTTCTGTGGTTTGTGTAGAGCTAATGGAGCTTGAAAGTAGTTTTTTTTTTACATTCCCTGGACTCATATCCTTCAGAGTGACAGTATGAAAAGCATCGGTGTATCCTCTTTGCTGCTCTGGGAGCATTTGCGTAGTGTGACCTCATGTCCTCACATAGTAGTGTTTCTCTATCAGACTGTGTGTTTTTATGCTGCAGGGTTACATTTTAAGTGTTTGCAGTCTTAAAGTCCACCCAGTCACTCGGTTCCCCAGGCACGTCTGTGGGTCGCTGGTTCTACAGGTGACGTTTGCAACAAACTCTGAAATAGACTCAGCTGTCCTTGGGGGGGGTGGTGTGTAATTGAGACGTAGCGGAAGTGAACGCAGAGGCCAGCATCCACAGCCTCCCCTGCTTGTGTGTCAGCTCCACGGGCCATTACATTCTCCAACTGTCTTTCCGCACTGTGCCTGGTATACATTATCTACACGCACACACACACACACAAATAATGTTTCTGTATTGCTTCAAAGTTATTAAGCAGACACTGTTTAACTGAGCATCCCGGAGAGCTCCATGTTAGATCTTAATGAACTGAATGTTGTTTTTGAGACACAAACAAGATGATCCCGTCCAACCTGTCTGCGTTTTTTGTTCTTCTGCCGTTTGAACCGACAGCAGAGACAGATTGCTGCTGTTATCTTCACAGCTGTCTCCCGTCTCTGTGGAGCAGTGTAGGTTGTCTACAAAAAATGTAATGGTGGTACAAAAATAACTCCTGCTAGCACACAGGTATCAATGATCATATTCGCTATGTGGGGGCGGCTGCTGAACTCTCTGTTATCGTGCCTATATTATAATGAATTAGACAATCTGTTGTACCTCTGATGTGTTCTGGGTCTGTTTCCAGAACATCTCCATGATGAGGGACCCCATAGACCAGGGGTGGGCACCTTTTTCCTCTGAAGGGCCATTTCCATTTTTACAACATCCTCAGAGGGCTGTACAAATTATTGAACTCAACCTCTGCTTAAAAAAACTAAAAGCACCGCCCATTCATTTCCAGATGCTAATAACAACAATCTCCGGTACCGCTCTCTCTCTCGCGCTCGTGCCACACACACACACACAGCCGAGCTTGAATGTCACACAAAGACCCAGAAGTAGTACTGTAATGTAGCATATTATTTTCGATGGCGTTATTGACTGTATGATCAGTATGTCAGATGAACAGATCGCCACTGGGCTTACAACTAAAGACACAGCCATGCAAAAACTGCGGCATGTGTACGGCTCCTTACGGGTATTGCAATTTCTGACACTTTTTATGACTGAGGTTATTATCACACTTTTATTTTTATCAGACTGAATTATAGACTTTCAGCAAGTGCTTTCCTTCACTTCCTTCCGTACAAATACAATCAGCGCTTGTAGCTCTAAAGCACTTCTCAATTTATGATGCTTCCCGGCATGACCCCTCATATTTTATATCCACCATAAAGTTGATCCTCCTGCTTTAAGATTCACTCGCTGTACAGAATATCTGATCTTTCAGCCAACTGCAGTAAAACGTGTCCAGTAGCTCCAAATGTCAGTGATGATGGGTGTCGTCCATTGTGCTCACTGTATTTCATTTTGCCATCTTGAGGGTTTTTTTCTGGCACCATTTCATAAAATCTGAGCACTTTTCAGACCATTAAGCAGCAATAACGTGTTCTGCTTTCAACTTCACTTTGAATACATGTAATACTCTCTTGCCTTTTCAAAGGATTCAATACTACTAGAATGTCTGTATAGTAATATTGACAATGGTGAAAGAAAGCATAAACATTTACTTAAGGAAGAGTTATAAAACTAGTAAAAGCCATGCCATACCTATCATGCAAAATGCACTTTTGTACGTCTTTTACATTACATTGCATTTAGCTGACGCTTTTATCCAAAGCGACTTACAATAAGTACATTCGACCAGGAAGACACAACCTTGAAGAAAACAGAATCATATAAGTACATCAGGTTTCATAGAGCCAAACATTTCAAGTGCTACTCAACTGGCTTTAGGTAAGCCAGTCCTTTATTAGTATATAAGTGCTTTGTTAGCAGTTCTTTGTTAGTAATTCTATCGCTCGAAGTGGAGTTGAAAGAGATGAGTTTTCAGTCTGCGCCGGAAGATGTGAAAGCTTTCTGCTGTCCTGATGTCAATGGGGAGCTCATTCCACCATCTTGGAGCCAGGATAGCAAACCCACGTGTTTTTGCTGATGGGAACTTGGGTCCCCCTCGCAGCGAGGGTGCAGCGAGTCGTTTGGCTGATGCAGAGCGTAGTGCACGCGCTGGGGTGTACGGTTTAACCATGTCCTGGATGTAGGAAGGGCCAGATCCATTTGCAGCATGGTAAGCAAGTACCATTGTCTTGAAGTGGATTCTAGCAGTTACCGGAAGCCAGTGGACGGAGCGGAGGAGCGGCGTGGTGTGGGAGAATTTAGGAAGGTTGAAGACCAGGACGAGCCGCTGCATTCTGGATGAGCTGCAGAGGTCGGATGGCACATGCAGGTAGACCAGCCAGGAGGGAGTTGCAGTAGTCTAGGCGTGAGATGACGAGAGCCTGGACCAGAACCTGCGTTGCTTTCTGGGTCAGGAGGGAACGTATCCTCCTGATGTTGTAAAGCATGTATCTGCAGCAACGGGTTGTAGCAGCGATGTTTGCAGTGAAGGACAGGTTGTTATCTAGGGTCACACCCAGATTCCTTGCAGTCTGAGTCGGAGAAACAATAGAGGGGCCGATGTTGATTGTTAGGTCAAGAGTGGGACAAGCTTTTCCCGGAAGGAAAAGCAGTTCAGTCTTGTTGAGCTTGAGGTGATGATCAGACATCCACTGAGAGATGTCAGCTAGACAACCAGAGATGCGTGCGACGACCTGGGTCTCTGAGCGGGGAAAGGACAGAATTAGTTGGGTGTCATCAGCGTAGCAGTGGTATGAAAAACCATGCGGGCTAATGACTGATCCGAGCGAGTTTGTGTACAGGGAGAAGAGGAGGGGACCAAGAACAGAGCCCTGAGGGACCCCTGTAGTTAATTGACAAGGGTCGGACTCGGACCCTCTCCAAGTTATCCTGTAGGTGCGGTCTTTGAGGTATGAGGTGAGGAGGGAAAGTGCAGAGCCTGAAACTCCAAGTTTTTGAAGAGTGTGAAGGAGGATCTGAACTCATTTGATTTATAACATTAGGATGAGGATCTGATGGTTCACCGTGTTGAATGCAGCAGACAGGTCCAAAAGGATGATGACAGAGGAGAGGGAGGCTGCTTTGGCAGTGTGCAGATCCTCAGAGACAGCAATGAGAGCAGTTTCTGTGGAGTGACCTGCCTTGAAACCAGACTGGTGCGGATCAAGAAGGTTGTTCTGATGGAGATAACAGGAGAGTTGTTTAAAGACGGCGCGTTCAAGTGTTTTAGACAGGAACGGGAGGAGAGAGACAGGCCTGTAGTTTATAACAGGGGTTCCCAACCTTTATTGTGCCAAGGACCGGCAGATACATTAAAAAAAAAATCACGGACCGGTTGTCAATTTTAACTGATTTTAATATTTACTCACCACCAGCAGGTATCAACAGAGGCTAATTGTATGTAACAGCCTGAACAAATACTAGAACAATATGCATCCAAAACATATTAATGTTTAAAAAAGAACCGGTGTCGTTTTTTGGTTTTTCAGAAAAACGGACAACCGACGTTATTCCGTTTTTAAACCAAAACGGGAAAACAGATAAATCAACGTTTTGGTTTTGTTTGTATGATTTACGGATAATCATGGGAAAACAAGGTGTGTGTGTGTGTGTGTGTGTGTGTGTGTGTGTGTGTGTGTGTGTGTGTGTGTGTGTGTGTGTGTGTGTGTGTGTGTGTGTGTGTGTGTGTGTGTGTGTGTGTGTGTGTGTGTGTGTGTGTGTGTGTGTGTGTGTGTGTGTGTGTGTGTGTGTGTGTGTGTGTGTGTGTGTGTGTGTGTGTGTGTGTGTGTGTGTGTGTGTGTGTGTGTGTGTGTGGTGTGTGTGTGTGTGTGTGTGTGTGTGTGATGTGTGTGTGTGGTGTGTGTGTGTGTGTGTGTGTGTGTGTGTGTGTGTGTGTGTGTGTGTGTGTGTGTGTGTGTGTGTGTGTGTGTGTGTGTGTGTGTGTGTGTGTGTGTGTGTGTGTGTGTGTGTGTGTGTGTGTGTGTGTGTGTGTGTGTGTGTGTGTGTGTGTGTGTGTGTGTGTGTGTCATTTGTTTTCAGAAGATATTTTGACGTTCGTTCCGGTGCACGTCCGACAGCATTTCGCACTAAATCGAGATTAAGATTAAACTAATTTATTTTGGGAACACCCGCATATAGGTTACCTATGGAGTTAGCCAGATGTGTACATTACTGTTCATTGTCATTTGAAAACAAATGCTGGTGTCGGACAGACACAAACACACCGAACACACAGAGCTGAGCTGATACACACACACACATCATGCGCCTTGGTAACTGGACATCTCCTTCATAAAACTAATAAAAGGGGGAGTAATCGGGCAGTTCAATGTGTGTAGAGGTGTGTGTGGTTAACACGTAGCAGCCTGCAGTCACTCTTAAGCTGTTCTGATTAAGGTAAACACAGCGAAGGCGGTGCGTAAAAAGGCACATCTTTACCTGCTGGTGCTTTACTTCTCAGAGGCGGAGTTACATGTCCCGCTGCCTCCTGATGCTGTAGCCATTTCATGAAGTGAAGGAGGTTTTCCTTCTATAAAACAGCTGCGGGCAGCAGATACCGCGAGAGTCCCGGACATGAATTCATAGATCAAGGCAGACTGGTTTACTCTCCTATTTTGCCAATCCGGTGCTTAAACAAATAGCTCTACACCCCTGGCTGACATGTCTTTAAAATTAAGTCTGAGTTTGAAATATATCTCAAATAATGTATGCACTGCCATTTCCCCACATAAACATAACAGTCTGCAATGAAACGGTTGTCTCCTGTGCGCTCCTCTTCCTACTTGGTGCACCGGTAACTTTCTCGTGCGCACGAGAGGCTGAGACATTAGGCTGATTCGCCGAATCCCTCGGAACATCATAAAAGCCATGGCATTTTTAACAGTTTTCTAGTGAAAGTTTAACCAGGCTACTGGATGAAATAATATGACTGGTATTATAGGTGCAAAAATGAAAATATTATGATAAAATATTTTTATATATTTATAATTCTGCAAATATTACGATAAACTCACAGCTATTTCGCGGCCCGGCAGTAACACCTCCGCGGCCCGGTACCGGTCCGCGGACCGGGGGTTGGGAACCCCTGGTTTATAACATCAGATGGGTTGAGAGTGGGTTTCTTTAGGAGAGGGTTTACTCTTGCCTCCTTAAGACTATTTGGAAAGTGACCAGAAGTTAGAGAAGTGTTGATGAAATGGTAGAATATCAGGAGCGATAGTCTGAAGGAGGTTTGAAGGGATAGGGTCCAGAGGACAGGTGGTAGGGCGGGCAGAGGTAATGAGGGTAAGAACCTCACTTGGAGAGAGAGGGGAAAAGGAGGTTAGTGTGTCGGTGAAAGGAGGGTCTGGTGACCCAGCGGTGAGTCAGAAAAAGAAGAGCGAATATCATCAACCTTTTTTTCAAAGTGGTTAACAAAGTCGCTTGACAGGAGGGGGAAGGGGCTTTGGGAGGGTCCAAGAGGGTGGAGAGATGGAAAATAGTTTTTTGGGATTGGAATAGGAAGATTGGATCTTATCTTGAAAGAAAGTGCTTTTTGCCTGAGAGATCGAAGCAGAGAAAGAGGAGAGGAGAGCCTGATAGGTTAGGAGGTCGTCACGGTGTTTGGATTTCCACCATTTCCGCTCTGCTGCCCTAAGGACGGTTCTATTAGCACGCAGTGCGTCATTTAGCCAGGGAGCAGGAGGGGACTGACGAGCCTGCCGAGATGTGAGAGGACAGAGAGAGGATGAGAGAGTAGAGAGGAGAGTTTCTGCAGCAGAGTTTGGAGGCAGAAGTTATACATGCATATGTGTCCCCGGTGTGTCAGGGAACTCACCAAGTGTCAGAAAACACAACCCCCTCTCTTTTCCTCCATACCCAAATCTCTAAAAACGGGGCTGCAACGGATCTGATAGACTGATACAGATTTGAATTTTTCTGACGTCAGAAAAGGGGTGCTCCGCCTATATGGGCAACTCTCCACCTATCAAGGGAATGGGGAGTTGGGCCACGGCCGGCCATTGCTGCTCGAAAGTGCTGGAGACGCTGTAGTACATATGCCAGGCATGTAGGTGGCGCTGTAGTCTGCCACAAAAGCAGCGAAGAAGACTTCTCTCAGAATCAGCCCCTGCAAAAACAGGTCCAAAAAAGAGCAAATAGAGTGAAATGAGGCATGGCTAAAATGCATGATCTGTTTGGTATTTTTTTTAAAAACATGTTTTATATAGGTATGGCCCTACAATATATTATTCAGATATAACATGATAGGTCCACTTTAAGTAACGTAATCATTATGCAGAATGGGCCATTTTAATTTATTACACTTTATTTTATCATATGTATTGATGAATTATCAACCGTTATTACTTTATTGTTGAAGCTGGTAAACGTAGGGCTTTTTTAAATTCCAATATTCTATGATTTAGTTTATGAATTTCACCAAGGGCTCAATATAGTGTTCTCAATCATCAGAATGTACTTGTGGATTATGTTTTGTAATATTAATATAAATCTGCAAAGTAACTAAAGGTAATAAAGGATTAAAAAACGAATATAAATAAAATATATTTGCTGCTGTGTTGCAGTGACATAAAGTTATAAATAATCAGAAGTGGAAATACGTTATTAAAGTACCTCACAATTGTACAATATTTATTTAAATATACTTAGTCACTCTCCACTACTGTATATTGATAAATCAGTCGGTCATTGAGAGCTGGATTACAGTAACTGATCTGTTGTAGTTGCTGCATAAAAGTAATAATAAAATAATAATAATATATATCTCCACAGGACATCTTACTGTCATGAGTCTTTTTTTCGCTTCTCTGTACAAAAGCAGATATCAGCAGCAGAACAAACGTGCTGCTCACACACTGGCACAGCTCCCTCGAGGTGCAGATTTAAATGTATGGAGTTGACACACAGTGACTGGACAAGTGACCTATTGATCCGTCCGTATAAATCCTCCTTGCGATGTTTAGATTCTCACAGCTTCTGGCATGTCTGCTCTCCCTTCACTTCAAATCAATCAAACCCTGTTATTCCCTCACACGTACAAATCCACACAACAATCTATTGATAATGACTTATTTTAATTTATAGTTTGGCTCCCCATGATTCTCTTTTAAGATAATTATATCTGATGTTTTACTGATACCGTTGCCAAAATGATGCCAATGTATTGTTTGTTGTATCAAGGGGCCCTATTGTGCTTTTTGGGGTTTTCCTCTTTTCTGAAAAGGCTAAAATCTTAAAGTTTCCTCCAGAGGGAGTTTCTCTCCCACACACTCACCCCTTGAAACACCTCCATTGGAGTCCTTTGTTTTCTTTCTCAACATAGTGACATCACTATGTAACACTCGCGCTTCTATTGGGTAGCGCTCCCACACATTGTAGGGAGCTAGTTTCAGGCAGAGTTGTGAAATGAGACTTATACAGGCAGTATGAGAAAAATAAAGCCCTTTTTGAATATTAAGGTCAAGGTAGAGGCACAAAATAGAAATATGAACCTGAAAATTGCAAAAATAGGCCTCTTTATAGTATTGTCTGCTATACTAGAAAGAAACTTTTGGGGTGTTTTTCTTCACAACCAGTGACATTTTCTCAAACAAGGAGTAGCAATAGTGGCAAAGTCTGCTGCAATACACATTTGATGGGTAATGTTGCTTTAAATACCTACAGTACAGTATGTGTTTTCTGCAGTATATGCTACCTTCTGATTTACATTTGACAGTGCTGGATAATATGGACATCTGTTAAAGTGTAACATAAGTAATTGTATATGATTTGGCATAATATTGCACTGTAAGAGAAAAGTGGAGGAAATAGGGGCTAGTGTCGTTGTTGTGTGGGCTGTAGAGTGAGTTTATAAACTAGAGTATAGGAAGAAAAAGGGAAGCGTCAACTAGGTCACCTGCTGTCATGCTCCCTCAGCTCTCCCAGTCACTCAGTCTGTCGAAATCCTGCTATCAGGGTGACGGATACAAAGCTGTTCTAAAATGATGTCAGTAAAAAAAAGAAGTGTTTTCAGAAAGGTGAATTAGTCTGTGTTAGGCCAAATACCCTCCATGCAGACACTGAAATATGTATTACAGGGCATAATGTTAAGCTCTGTGTTTGCCTCAGCTCTGTTGATGAAGGGTCCCGGTGCCAGTGCTCAGACGTCTGTTCATGTTTTTACGCTCTGTTCTGCAGGTGGACGCTGACAGGCCGGAGGAGAGCCGGCTGATAGAGATTGATGAGTCTCAGCGCAGCGAACACACAGTCTTCATCACGCCTCCAGAGCTGCCCCCCCTGCCTGAGGGGGAGGAACATCCACTCTGCTACAGGTGAGAACTCTACCATTAGGACACACATTTCAACTCAAACAGGGGAATACATATAACATTTCTCACTGGCTGAAGTACATTTACTCAAGTAAGATTTTTAGGTTCTGTACTTGAGTATTCCTCATGTTGTGCTTCATTTCTTTGATAATGCATCACTTATAAGTAATATGATATATATATTCTATTAAAATGTGCATTTCTACCTAATATAATGTTTTGTACGTTAAGTGTGATTTAATGCTGATACTCTTATATACTCAAGTCAAAGTCAGTGAATATTTCTAAACTGTTGTAATGTTATTTTTATTTATGTAAAATGTATTAATATTAGTTTCCGTCTTCTGATTTTTCTTTAGTTTTTTTATGTTTAGGATTTCTTCTTTGTTGACCTGGTAATGCAACTAAGCTTTAACAGATGAAAAACCAAAATGATTATTATTATTAGATCGACCTGTCACATGAATCATGTGCAAAGCCTGTGATTGTATTATTCATCAGGCTCATTTTATTTATTAGACAAGTTGTAAACGTGCTGATTTTAGTTTCAATCAATCAATCAAAGTTTATTTATATAGCCCAATATCACACATTTGGCTCAGTGGATGTTACAGTTTGTACAGAATATGAATACGAATACGACACCTACGTTTCATCTCCCTGCATAAAACCAACTGAATACAGCAGGAGAAAAACAATAATACTTTGCTTTGATGGTCTCTGATTAAATACCAGCAGGAGTCCAGTTCCCTCGCTGCGACCAACATCTGATCGCTGCTGCTGGACTGTGTGGCTCTGAATATGTGCTATTTGTATTCTGCATTCATTTCGCACTAAATAATTTATTCCAAAGAGTTTTCAGAACCACTTAAGTTAAGCTCCCCTAATAATCCATAATGACAAACAGCTTTCCAGAATATATAATCAGATCTCTTTGAAGATAATTACAAGCAGACTGTTTTTATGATCACTATAACCTGGAAAGGAATCTTTTGTTGTTAGACAATGCCAACAGGAACATCGTTTTTATTCTCATAGACAAATCTGTGCCTGCAGTCATTAATGTATGAATGTATGTTCTCCGTCAGGTACGATGGCTTCCCAGTGTTAACTCTTGACCTGTTTGACCCTGTGGAGGGCCTGCGGACCCCCTCCTCCCGTCTCACTGCCAAGCAAAGCTGTCCCACTAGCCCTGCCCCCATGTTCAGACGCACCAAGCAGGTCAGCGCCGCAGTAACTCACTATCTCAATGATTTATTGATTTAGGTTCTGAGCTCGTGATCTTCTGCAGGGTTACCTGACATTTGAGAATCTAGCATAAATAGTAGTGCTGTGGGGAAACGATTATTTTGAAAACGATTAATCGGGTGATTATTTGATCGATTAGTCGACTAATCTAACGATTATTTTTCTGTTGTTCAATTCATAAAAAACGTAATGTAAAAAAAAATTTTTTCACGATACTGTGTCTCAGGGGATCTTAATATTTAAGAACCTATTAATGTGTTATACCAGATTAACGGAAATAATCTCAGCTAATTGACGATACAAACCATGTTTACCAAAACAAAACACAAGTCTCATAAGAAGCATCTAAATGATCCCTGAGCGAAAAATGCTAACGGACATTGGCACAGAACTCAAGATAAAAGTACCCTTATTACTTATCGTAGCTGCACATACAATATATCCGATTAAAGCTGAGACTCCACAGATTATGTAGGTATATAGTATTATCACTGAGTGATCCGGACTCGCGACAGGGGAAGCAAATACAGTCATCACAACACGTACCTTCACAGAGCTTCTAAGGAGATCGTCTCACCGCCGTAGCTGTCAATCTGATCAAAAGACGTGTTCAATGGCATTACAATGAGAAAAAACGCGGCTGAATCGGTTAATCCATAGGTTTTTAACGTCTATGTATAAAAAAATGATTGAATTTATAATCCATAATTCCATTTTATGTAAAAATCGGAGAGCAAATGCTTTGCTGCTAATGGTAGCCACCACAGCTAGCTGCTGCTTCTGCTAGGCTATGCAGCAGTCTCAGTGAGATATAAATATATAAATATCTTTGCGTTTTGGACTAACTTTAAAATATTCCCATGCTTTTGAAGACCTAGGGCGAGATGTTTTCGTTTGGGGGCTTCGTGCGCAATCCTGTGAGGAGGAGGTGGTAGCCGTTTCAGTCTCCATTGTGTTTGAAGTGCGATTGCGAACTGCTTGTTGCTTTGGGTGACCCACGTGTGTGTAGCGACGCGTCGACGCGGAAATATGTCGTCGACGATATTTTGAAGTCGACGCGTCGCTACAGCACTAATAAATAGATAAGTACCTTGATCAGAACCAGAAATCTTTATTTATCCCAAGGATGGTTAGGTTTCATGATAGTTGATCCATTTTAGAATGAAATAAATAAAGAAACTAAAGGTATTTAAATAAACATAAGAAGTTAATGTAAAATGTTCAATAAAACATATACAAAAGTAGATGATATAAGAAGTTGCATAACATTTGTGAACAATGTATGAAAATATATAAAAGTATACTAGAATACATACAGTGGCGTTTTAGTATTAATAAGATATACGTGCTTAATTTCACAGCTTAAAGGGTTAAGCAGTCTCCAATAAAAACAACAAGCTTAGGAAATAGTGGTAAGAAAATTGATATTATTCTCTAGGTGTTTGTCGAAGATTTAGAAATAGATTACATTTTGGATAAACATTGTCTCTAACACATATCCATGAGCCAGATCTGTACAATACATTATTTCCCTCACCCTCCTCTTCATCCACAGGAGATCAAAACAGCACAGAAGATAGCCAAGAAGTACTCGTCCATCCCTCAGCTGTGGTCCAAGTGCCTGCTCCGTCACTGCTACGGCCTGTGGTTCATCTGCCTGCCAGCGTACGTCAAGGTGTGCCACTCCAAGGTTCGGGCACTGCGCACAGCCTATGACGTCCTCAGGAAGATGCAGGCTAAGAAACTGCAGCCACCTGATGAGGTGCCACCAGATTTGTACTATTTCTGACAGTTACAACAGTCTTTGCACTCATTTTAAATCAACACTTTTGTTGAGGGTCTATTTGTTGAGGTTTATTTCTCCCTGTTTCAAACAATCTTTCAGGTCTGTTACCGAGTGCTGATGCAGCTGTGTGGACAGTACGGCCAACCTGTCCTGGCAGTCAGGGTCCTCTTTGAGATGAAGAAGGCCGGAGTCCACCCCAACGCAATCACCTACGGCTACTACAACAAGGTACAGAATACGCTTCTATTGATCATTATAAAGCCTAAATTATGTTAAAGGGCCCTTTTTATGCTGTTGTGGGTTTTCCCTTACCTGTAGTTTGTTATATAGGTTTTTGTGCATGTAAATGGTCTAGAAAGGCTGAAATCTCAAAGTTCACTACAGAGGTAGTCTCCCTCCCCCCCGCCTGAAACGCCTCCATTGGACTCCTTTATTTACTTCTGTAATATAGTGATATCACCATGTAACACTTGCACTTCTATTGGCTATTGCTCTAACAAATTACGTGATAGGTTAAGGGGCAGGACATCTCTATGCGATTGACCAATCACAAACGATCTGGCCAGCTAATCAGAGTAGACTGGGCTCTGGTTTCAGACAGAGGGATGAGATGAAGTTCTGCAGCTCAGGCATTGAGAAAAGTAAAGCTCTTTTTAAACATTAAAGCATGCAAACATGTCACAGGCACAAATATGAACCTGAAATGTAGCATAAAAGGCACCTTGAATATGGCAGTTAAGTTCGATATTGCATTTGTACAAAAAAGTGTCCTTGATTATAAAGGTGGATATAGAGAGCACATGACTCATACCAACCCAGTGCAGGGTCTCACAGGCGCTGATATAAACATATTGGCACTGGGAGTCCCACATGCTATACTGTTGGCCTGGGTGTGGTGTTCCTGATGTGGGTGTGTTCATAATATTCTGCTGATTCGGCTGCAAGTTTGACAAATTTGTGAACACACCCATGACAGCCAAATCTCTAGGAAGACTGTTTAGGTGTCTACTGCCTTTACCATCCGTTGTGATGGATGACAATACAGACTTGGTAAGAGCAATACAATTCAATAAATGTCAGGAGAATTGGCTTCTGTACAAATCGTGTTATAGTGACAGGCTGCCACATCAGAAAAAAGCTCATTGTAGGCATTATATTATATTGTGATTCAGAAAGAAATGTCAAAATGTGATAAAGTCGATAATAAAATGCAGAGACATAGGAGTTCTTCAAATAAAATGACCTCTTAAGACACATCAAATTCAGTTTCTCAAAAAAGATGTTGATTATTCATTTATGATTCATATATATATATATATATATATATATATATATACCCCCCATAACATCTCCATATTATTACACTTCGTAGCTTAGTTACATTACATTGCATTTAGCTGACGCTTTTACCCAAAGCGACTTACAATAAGTACATTCGACCAAGAAGATACAAACTTGAAGAAAACAGAATCATATAAGTACATCAGGTTTCATAGAGCAAAAACATTTCAAGTGCTACTCAACTGGCTTTAGATAAGCCAGTCCTTAGTTAGTATATAAGTGCTTTGTTAGTAATTGTATTGCTCGAAGTGGAGTCGAAAGAGATGAGTTTTCAGTCTGCGCCGGAAGATGTGTAGGCTTTCTGCGTGAGATGACTAGAGCCTGGACCAAAAGTTGCGTCGCTTTCTGGGTCAGGAGGGGACGTATCCTCCTGATGTTGTAAAGAGTGTATCTGCAGCAGCGGGTTGTAGCAGCGATGTTTGCAGTGAAGGACAGGTTGTTGTCTAGGGTCACACCCAGATTCCTTGCAGTCTGTGTCGGGAAACAACAGAGGTGCCGATGTTGATTGTTAGGCAGGGGCGGCGGGTACTGTAGGCTAGGGAAGGCTAAGCCTTTCCAAATATTTCTGTCACTGCACCAAAATAAAAATATAATGTTTGTGTCTTTGACATTAGTAATGCTATGCAGCCACCTGTGCCCTGTAGGCCTACTACGAAGCCAGTTCAACATATCCTGGATATGTTTGAGTTATCTTAACTAACCCTAACAAACGAGATCTCGCTAAGCGGTCCTACGACGCTGGTTAATATCAACTCGGTAAATCAAGCCAGCTGAGAGTGCGTTCACGTGAAAGGGGTGGGGTTAGAAACATTTGACCAATCACAAACAGGGACAAGTGTACTGACAACGCAGCGTCATACTTCATTAATGAAAAGTAAACTAATATTAGACAAATATGAACTTTAAACATCCATGACTCAAACATATAATCCAGGATACAAGCCACATAGTTGCACATGCAAGTTGAAGATAGAACAACTGGTTAAAAAATAAATAAACTACAGAGTGTTTGAAAGCGTAACAGATTTATGATACTCCCCCATCTAAGACACGAGTGGATCTGACTTTAATTACATTTGAGTTGAGTGTTTCGTCAACCTAATATGTTGCATAAAATAATACTTCTGCATACAGTATGTGACACTGTAAGTGTTGCACAGCCAGATACGGCTCGAGAAGCTGACTCAGATAAGGAAATATATGATATTATATGATCGATGATCTGATTGATGATGTGATATGAATGATAAGTGTGACACGTCGGCGTCTTCTCTGCATACGACAGTTTAAACTGTATTTCCTTTATCCTGTAATATGACTTGATAGATTTAAACTCCACACACTGAGCTCTGATTGGTCAGCAGGCGGTGCTTTCACTGAGTTGATCTCTTTTCTATAAGCCGGAGGCGGGCAGCGTCAGGTAAAAAAAAAAGTGATTTAGCCTTCCCAAACCTGAGCCTCACGCGCTGCCTATGTTGTTAGGTCAAGAGTGGGACAATCTTTTCCAGGAAGAAAAAGCAGTTCAGTCTTGTTGAGCTTGAGGTGAGACCTGGGTCTCTGAGCAGGGAAAGGACAGAATTAATTGGGTGTCGTCAGCGTAGCAGTGGTATGAAAAACCATGCGGGCTAATGACTGATCCGAGCGAGTTTGTGTACAGAGAGAAGAGGAGGGGACCAAGGACAGAGCCCTGAGGGACTCCTGTAGTTAATTGACAAGGGTCGGACTCGGACCCTCTCCAAGTTACCCTGTAGGTACGGTCTTTGAGGTATGAGGCGAGGAGGGAAAGTGCAGAGCCTGAAACTCCAAATTCTTGGAGAGTGTGAAGGAGGATCTGATGGTTCACCGTGTTGAATGCAGCAGACAAGTCC